TCCTGGAAACAATCCTATCAATCCTCTGAACATTTCATCCGACTCTGAAATTGAGGATTTTGATGAATTCATCAAGAGAGATGCTGATGGAGATGTAAGATCTTTCGATCCCAATGAGGAACCCCCTCTAATTGTTAAAAAGGGCTTCTTGACATTGGAAGCTTGGAACGATACCACTATGGATAGAGATCTCAGGGATTTCTATCGACATTATGATTGCAAATCTGAACTTGTGGGGTATGTTGAAGGAGAATCTGATGAAGAAATACATCTTGACGGTGGACCATTGCGTCCAAAAGCCCCTACATCAAAGAGAGCCACTAAGGTCACCAAGGGCGAAACCAGTAACACGAAGAAGGGAAAGGGAAGGAAATGAAAATTTCTTTGTCGTAAGTTCAATAATCGTCTTTGAGCTATGTATTTCTGTTCATCCATGTCTCGTGTTTTCTCTTTTAATTAATGAAGATTTTCGCCATGAATCTCTGACTACCTGACATTTACATATCTTGGATTCATCACTCTGACCCTAAAATTATGACATTCTTGAAAATATTCATTCAAAGTCTTCTACATCATTAATGGTCAGTTGAAGAAATACATGGTCATTAATTGCAGCATTGAATGCTGTGAGCAGTTTCACAACGTTATCTCTTCAAAATCTACCTATAAAAGGGGGATTATATTTCACTCTTCTCTACCATTCTCATCTTCACAAATGACTCCTAAAAAGCCCTTTACAAGGGGAGATTCCCGCAAACAACGAGAACTCGCCAGGAAAATAAGAGAAGAGCAGGGAGACATGTATCCAGGCAATAGCCTTCAAGCACCATTAGAGATCTCATCTTATACTGAAACATCATCTCTGTATGATGATATGGTTGGCTTCATTGTTGAAGAGCCCGAAGAAAACCCTCCAAGAGAAGTTGTCCCACCAATTCAGACAACCCCTGATGATCCCAGTAAGTACTACGATCAAGACTACATGGATTATCTGAAAGAAGAAGAACTCAAGTATGAACCGAAAGCTGATGAGCCAAAGACTGAAGAAGTACCGGAGTCATCTTCGGGCTCCAACTTTCTGCGTACCGGAAAATGGTACAAACGCATGTGGGCTGATCTGAAAAAGCCGAAAGCTGAGTCATCTGAGGGCAAGGGAAACGAGAGAAAGAAAAACTAAGGGGTCGTTTACTTCGTTTTTCTGTTTTTCCATTTCCAGTTTTCCATTTTTCCATTTCTCCAGTTTTCTTTCTCTATTCTTCCAGTTTTCCATTTCTCCAATTTTCCAATTTTCATTCCCATTTCTCTAATTTTCTGATTTTATTAAATATGATCATCCCATATAGCATTTTTACATTTCTACAATAATAATAATAATAATAATAATAATAATAATAATAATAATAATAATAATAATAATAATAATAACAACAACAACAACAACAACAAAAAATATGTGTGCATAAGAATGAAAAAAAAGGATAAAATGGAATAATAATAATAATAATAGTAATAATAATAATAATAATAATAATAATAATAATAATAATAATAATAATAATAATAATAATAATAATAATAATAATAATAATAGTAGGGCAAACAAAAACTAAAGCAAAGGCTTTGCACATAACAAGACTCGAACTGGCAACCTTTGCGCCAAGTGCACTATTCACCCGTGTCTCCTCCCATCCCTCCATTTAGAGAGATCCAAATATCTTTTCTCCAAAATTGTACATGAAGTGGAAAAATGGAGATGGAATAAGGATTTGGAAAGAGAATTTTGGTAAACAAGTTTTCCATTTTCCATTCTTCCACCTCTCCAATTCTCTGTTTTTCCAGAAAATCCTCCATTTTTCCATTTTGGTAAACGACCCCTAATCCTTTTGGATTATGTGTCTTATTATCTGTATCTGTCTTTCTCGTTTTAATGAATAATAAAATCTTGGTGTTAATTATCTTGAATCTGTTAAAGTGATGAACGAAACTTTATTTGTTTTGTTCATTCCTATCAAAGTACATCTCGGCCTAAGCATACCTTTCTTGGAAATGAATATATTCCCTCAAGCGTGCTCTTCATATCTATGACTAGTCATTCGGATCACATCTTTTGATGCATCTATCTCTCTATATAAAGGACTCTCTCGGGAAGTATGGATTCACACTTCTCATCTAATAGCATCATGGATAAAGGGAAAGAAATAGCTCTTATAACTAGAAGCTGGCCTGAGTTCAAAAATGACTCTCGTCATAAACCCGAAAGTTCACTGGTGAAGGGATCATCATATGACAAATCTGCCAAAGCACCAAGTGTTTCTCAAGGGATGCAATGGGAACGGATCATGAAACAATCATAGCTGAAGTATTTGCACATGAGGTGCAGAAAAAGGAATATTTTGACAATGCTCGAAAGAAGAGGACTGCCATGGAATAAAGTATCATGGTTTGTAACTCACGAGAGATGTCGTTACAGTTGTCACTATTCTTGTTTCGTGTAATAAATTTTCTCTCGGACAATGAACTTTCGTTGTATGAGATTTGTTTGACTTTATTTGTCTTACAAATCTTTTGTGAGATTTATCTTCTTTCGGTTTACAATCGTGTTTAAGACGCTTCCCATTAACTCTCTCATCTGAACCGTTTACACGTTTCATCATGGGGATCGTGTGGCCAAGGAAAATGGTCCACTACCCCACGACGTCTGACAAATGATGTGATGGGCATTTAATGCTCGTACAGGCACTTGAGTGGAATTCTCTCTCCACATTTAATATGGAATGATCAAAACTGATCTGAGCATGATCTTATCACTTTCCCATAAGCTGATCAGTTACCATTTGAAGAAGTAGAACCGGTTGAATATTTGAAATTCAAATAATCCACCATAAAGATGGGTTGACCCGTATTTGAATACCCGGAAACATATGGAACCCTACATAAACCCCCTATTCTCCATACTTCACCTTTTTCATTCACTCTCCATTTCAAAACCATACTGCCATCTCTGTACTCATTCAACACTTCAGAATGACGGCGAAAACCCAAGATACCCTCCTCAATGAAGAACCAGAAACCCCAGCCCCTTTGGAAATTCCTTCCTTCCCTATGGAAGATATACAATTTATCGAATCTAGGGCTCCACTTATTGTCAGAGGAAGCATGTGGGACGCTCATGGGTTCCTCGAATATGTTCTTGATCGCAAGTTTGGAGAAGACATCAACAACCTGCTTACAGATACTGGGTTGTACAGGTTTATCACTCATCTCTATACTTTATGGTATCCCATTGATGTTGCGCAATTTTACATGAATGCAACTATCTCTTCCGATTCTCTAACCATCACGTCTAGAGTTCATAATCATCAAGTGGTTATAACATCAGAGGACATACGAGCAGCGTATGGATTTCCTCAGAGAGATGAAACATATAAAGGCAACCTCTCTTTCTACCACTATGACCCCAGTGAGTTTTATGATATCATCAAGAACAACCATGCACCCTCGAAAATGGAGATTACATGGCCTTTGAAGAAAAAGTGGTTCCGTCTGGACTATGAGTTCACTGTGGACATCTTCAATAAGATCGTCGATCACAAAACGTCTGGAACAGATGATGTCACAAAGGAGAAGCTCAAAATGCTGCATGCATTTCTTAACAACCACAAAGTTGACTGGTCAAAAGTTATCTTCAACAACCTTGTTCATACCGTCATCTTCAACAGAAAAAGTCCCGGTGATATCACAAAGAAAATGGGATACGGATTTTTGGTTAGTCATTTACTTGTCACAAAGGAGGTTCTTATGAGACCAGGAATCAGGCCAGGACAAAAAGCCTGCCACATGAAGCAGAAGCCCTCCGGTTTTGACAAGCAGAAAGCTTTGGAGCTGGGAATTCCTTTGGAAATGGTGAAATCCAAACGAAAGTCAAGGACACCGAAAGAATCAGAAGATGACCAACCAAAGCCGAAAAGACAAAAGAAAGAAAAGCGATCCTCTCGGATTAAGTCAAAAGAGGAAGCCATCAGCACACCCACACCTACTCCCATCTCTCCAAAATCTCCCACAGAGAAGAAAATTCTTACCTCAACTATAACTCCTCCAGACACAATTGTTGTCGAAGATTCCTCTGATGAAGAAAATTTGGCTTTGTCGAACCTTGGCAAACCAGGACGTTTTCGTTCTCCTGTCAAAACGAAGTTTGGTTCATCTTCCTCCCAGAAAGAAGACGAAACATCGAGAGAAGCATTCTCTCAGGGGGGAAGAACATACGAGAGAAGCACTTTTCCATGGGGAAGGTCAGCCGAACGAAACTTCTCTTGCGAAGCCCTCTGATCAACAAGCGCCAAATCTTGGCCAAAGTTCTAAACAAGCCCTTCATCCACAAGAACCCATTTCAGCAGAACGACATATTCAAAGTTCGACACAAGAACCTGCTGCCATGGACACGGAGGCCGGTCACTTAAGTCTTCCACAAGAACCTGGCTTGCCAGAAAAGACGAAAGAAGTGGCTGCTGAACTGACTGAAGTCTTGTCTCTTCCACAAGAACCTACTAATGCAGAGCAGGTAACGACAAATCTGACACAAGAACCTGCATTGGTAGATGAGACAGCCATTGTACAAATTGACACTCCCACCATTCCAAAGCCATCAACACCTGTTCCCGAAGTCACAACAAAACCACCAGTTGCTGCACCCATTCCTCCATCTCCATATCAACTGCTTTGTGAGTCTATTGAAAATGACTACAATCGCGTGTTGCAATGGCAAAAATGACGTACAGCCCCCTTGAACACATTCATCGAAACTTTTGAAGCCATGAAAGATAAAGAAGAGTTTGCTCTTGAGTGGCTTGAAACCAAGGATATGAATGAAGCACTATGACTTGAAAAAATAAGACATGTGTTCTCTTACAAAATGACGAATCGTACTCTCGGAAAGGATAAAGCTCCGATTTGCATTGAGCTCAACAAACCCCCCCTTGGACCCAGCATTTGAAGAAGAAATGAAGATAGTTCATTATGCCATGTTGATATCCAAAGTCAAAACCATCCTGGAGAAAGAACATCAAAATGATCCTGCCTGCAGCGTCAGTGGCTCGAAAGATGAGCAAGGTCGAGAACTTGACACGACCGAAAATGAAGAAGAAGACGATACTGACGATGTCGAAGATGCAGATGATGAGAACGATGATGATGATGATAACAATGATGATTCGGGAAATGATGGTGATAATGGAGCTAATCTAAATTATGACAGTGAATCTCCTCTCTTGGTCGGTCCTGATTATGACACTGTTCCCGAAAGATCTCCAGCTCAGAAATCACCTTCCCACAGTGATGGCACAAGGGAAGCATCACAACAAGATGAAGACGTCTCAACTAATCACCCTGAAGATCTATCTCAAGCTCTCGTTCCACATGTTCAACCCATGAACGAGACTCCAATAAAACGAGAGGAAGCAGTTGTACATGAGGGTAAACTGGAAGCCTCCCCAATCCTTCTCAGCTCGGGTAGTCGTGGCAAAAAGGATGCACCACTTGAAGGAGATCAAGTTGAAACACCACAAACCAATATTGAAGACGAATCTCCTCCAGTGTCCCCACGAGTAGTCATGAATCTCATGAGAGAAACAGTCCATGCTGCCGAAACCATACATCAATAGTACTTGATTCTTAGGCAAAGGGACACCAAGGTCTTGGAAGACTTGTCCAAGAAAGTGGATCAGTTGATGGCTGCACAAGCTCAACCTCGTCCATCACCACAAGAGCCATCTCAACCTCCACCGCAAGCTAATCCTGACCAACAATTTCACAAAGCGCGTGGCTAAGGAACTCTATGAACTTAATACCGCTGTCAACAAAGTGGCTCGCCAACAACACGAACTCAAGCACTCACACTTCAGTCTCAAAGAGCGTGTTGACTTAGCTTGCTCCAAGATAGATACTTCACAAGACAACTCATACCAACTGGGACAATATGCTCTTCAAACTCTAGAGTATGCCCAAGACATTCTGAATGCAGTTAATCAACTCTCCATCATTCCTCCTACCACTTGTGCCGATGATGCCAAAAAGGTGGAAAAGCGACATGATGATGATGATAGGGATGACGATCATCCGAGGGAAAACACGAGAGAACGCTGGGAAAACACGAGAGAACGCTCTCCATCTCTTACACCAAGAGATTCTGGGCAAAGAAGTACAAATCCTCCATCCAAGTCTCGTGGTCACCATACAAATCCTCCATCCAAGTCCCGTGGTCACCAATCTTCCCAGACAAGACATTATTCAAATCGTGGCCGTTCCCAACCCAGATCACAGTCTCTCAAGCCTCGTCAATTCTATGGCTCTGAATCACAATTTGTATTTGCTGGGCTCTCCAAGAGAGAAAAGGCAAACCGAAGGCAGAAATTTATGAAAGACAAAAAGATAACAATGGATGGAGTAGGAAACTTTGTGGAGTACAAACCTTATGAAGAAGGTAGTGGGAAACGTTTTGAGGGTTGCAATGTTCCTACCTGGCTGAAGACAAAGGACAACTGCACTAGACAACATCACATAAGCACCCAAAACGAAAGAATAAAAAGGCAAAATAGAGAACTATGGGAGAAACACGAAGAAGAAGCCCGAATAAGAGAACATGAACTGAAGGAAAGAGAGAGAGAGTAAAGAAGCTTATTGAAGATCTCACGAAAGTCACCAAACACTCTGAGCAGGGTGTCATCTACAATGCAGCTTTCAAAGTGCATGCCGAGTCTGGAAAGAGCTACAAAGAAGGAATGAATGCTTTTGAACTCATCTCTTGGTGGAAAGCTGGAGTAATTGCAGGAGCAAACATTCGGGAGGCCTACAACAATTACATAAGTCTTAACATTCGAGGAAAACACAAAGATCTAGTCAAGACAAATCCAATCAGGATCTTCAAAGAACTAATCAACAAGGAAATAGACACTTACAGAATGCTCAAGCAGCAGGAGGAAAGGGACATTCGTGAACGAGAAAAAGCTAAGCTACAGAAGTCGAATCTTCTAGATCTGTAAGATGTCTTTCCTTATGCTTATCTTAAAAAGTCTTGTAATCATCTTTTTCCTTATATAAAGTACTCGTTGTTACACATCTCGTGTCACTTGTCTGAGTTACTTGTCCCTGTCTTACTTATTATTTGCTTTTATCTAGAAAAGACATGTAAACTCTCGAGTATGGCTGACTTGTAATAGAAAATCCGTTATGGAACTTTTTATTAGCTTTATAAGAAAAGTATAGGTTTTGGCATCATCAAAAAGGGGGAAATTGTTAGGAACACTTGTATTAGGATTTTGATGATACCAATGTAATCTAGAAAGTAGACCCCTAACCGTTATCTTTTTTCATCGCCGCTTTCGTCTTAGACGAAAGTTGCCATAACTCACATGTAATTCGTGTTAAGCTAGCCAAACACACGAAGACGAGTTATGTTTAGTTGTTAGGGTTATCAAGACGAAAGAAGACGCGAAGCATGAAGCATCTACAACGAGAGTTAACCAGGAGTTGTCATTGAACACGAAAGGGCAGTCTTATTGATGACAATCCTTCAAGACATTCTTTCTCACCAATAGCAAGAAGAATGTCTCCACTGTCTGACTTGACAACATCCTAGGATCAAAAGGACCCCAACTTGTGGGACACGCATACCAAGGAGCATTAAATGAAGATGTACTATTTCCTGAAGCTAAAGGACAAAACCCTAAGGCTCTCCATGCCATCAACGGCTACAAGGTACAACCTCATTAATGGAGCATTTAATGCGGGAAGCTCCCTGGTCCTTACCCATTGGTCGTTAGGTTTGAAAATTTCATCTTCCTCCAACGGGTGGAATTTTCCTCACCTATATAAAACCACCTTCATCAACTTAGAAGGTGCTGGTTCTAATCACTTGACCTATCTATACGCAAAAGCTCTTAAATGCTCTCAGCTCTCTCAAGCTTTTGTGAACCAGTGTTAAGGTGTAAAGATACTTGAAGAAGCTCATTGATACTCATCTTACACCTTAAAGAAGTCTTGCTATTTGTACGAAGCAATCATTCCTCTCAGTCAAGACTTCATCACGTTGGAGAAATCAGAAATCTCTTTCTACCAACCTCAACTCTGAAGAAGAAGTTGATAGAGGCGGAGTAAACTAGATGAGTTGAAAAACCTACGAAGGATGTCCGGCTTAGTGATCAAGGAAGTCTTTGTGTAATTGTACTAACGAGTGATAGTGCAATCCTTCCATAAGTTGTGGAAGAAGAGTGGAGTAGGCAAAGTTGGTCGAACCACTATAAAACTCTCGTCTCTCTATCTCTTTACTTACGATTTTCTTTTCTGCATCATATCGTTTTTCTCACTATTACCGAAAGCTCTCGTTATAACAAAACCCGTGCAAAGCAAATAAACGAATTTAACATTTCCGCTGCGCCAAAACACCGAAAGGTTGTTTTTAGGGCAAAACACGAAAAGAATCTATTCACCCCCCCCCCCCCCCTTTCTAGACTCTCGCTACAATTCTATCGGGACCAACAACTCCTATTGACCATTAATAACATATTTCAAAACACTCGAGTGGTTGAGAAGTCCGTACGTCCAAAAGATAAATTATCATTCCGGACCATTAGAAAAGTACCGAAAGGTTAAAATTTTGCACCTTGCGTAGGTGCATTAAGGATGCTAACAGATTAGCAGTACGATTCATAAATGCAATTAATGCACCATTAAAAAAAATGTGCATATCACTTAGCAGGCAAATTATATCATGCACCGCGCGTCTTTTTTTTTAAATGAAAATAAACAGTGTTTGTTTTCCACCGTTTCACACCCTTTTGCAAAAAGTAACCCTGTTCTTCAGTGTCATTTTGTACACACTGCAGTTTCAGTTCAACACAACTACAGTTTCATTTCGATATAACTATAGTTTCATTCGATATTTATAGACTCAAATATGTGAAAATGTTATTTAATTTTATTTTATATACACTATAGTTTCATTAAAACACAACTACATGATCATTTCGATATAATTACAGCTTCATTGTACAATATACACTCAAATATGTGAAATGTTATTCAGTTTCATTTTATATACACTGCAGTTTCATTTCACTATAACTACAGTATCATTTTGATATAACTGCAGTGTTGGTTTAGATATACTGTAGTGTCAGTTGGTGTTTAATACACCAAACAAGCGGACTCCGTTAACTATAACGGCGGGCCGTTTCTTTACTTAAAGAAACGGCGCTGTTTTTTATCGCGGTGCATATGCACCGCGGTCTATGATATAACGACTGCACTTAGCATTCTCCTTTTAATTGCCAATCACATAGCACTATTCGTCTTCAACTTTTCGTAACTTTTGACTTCTCTCAAATATATCTATTTTGAGAATCAAATTCTCATTCACCTATTACGTAACCATTTTGAGCGTACAATATATCAATTTCTTCATCCCATTACGAAAAATACAAATCTATTTTGATCCGACCAAAATCCGAAGTGAATCCCACATATATTTGTCCCACAAAATAGCCACTTTGATTGCTATTTTATGCTAAAAATTCTAACAATTTATTCACCTTCTCTGATCATATGGGGGGTTATTATGAGTTGGTGAATGTATTTTACCTGCCCGTGTTATAGGTGTTGTCTAATTTGTTTGTGTAAATCATAAATTTACAAGTAAATGAGATTTAACACATTTATTTATGTTTCATTGAAAAATGCATAGTGATGGATATATTATACCCACGACCCGACCTGGGGTAGCAACATGGACCCGGAGCACCTTGGTGGAGCCCAAGAGCAGCACGGACCCGGGGGACCACGGAGGTGCCTAAGAGCAACACGGACCCGGGGGACCACGGAGGTGCCCAGGAGCAGCACGGACCCGGGGGACCACGGAGGTGCCTGAGAGCAACACGGACCCGGGGGACCACGGAGGTGCCCAAGAGCAGCACGGACCCGGGAGACCACGGAGGTGCCCAAGAGCAGCACGGACCCGGGGGACCACGGAGGTGCCCAAGAGCAACGCGAACCCGGAGCACCATGGAGGTGCCCCGACCCGAGCCGACCTACGTGGAGCTCGGGTCGGGGAGCTCGATCCTACCCGAGCTCGGCACCACCCGGGCTCGGGACCCGACCCGACCCGGTCCACCCGGGCCCGGTCAAACTTGAGATCTAACCACCCCCGATTTAAGGGGAGGTGGTTGGGGGGTTTGCTTGTATAAAAACCCCCCTCCATGTCCTAACAAAGGGCAATTCATTCCACATTATACGATTATTACACACTTTTATCCTACCGAATCTTTGTAATAGCCAAATACTACGGCAATTAATATAATATACGGTCCACCGCGACCTTCACGATATCATTCTATATTATTTGTTTATTATTCTTATTATACGTTCTTATCCGGATTTAGTGATTTGGGTATACCCCGGGTAATTAAATCCATCATTGGTGCTCTTGTTGAGAGCTGCTGTATAAGCTTAAGCGCTCTCCCCACTATCGTTCATCCCCAGCGATGGCAAGATCGAGATCCAACTCTCGTCATACCAATGGTTCCCGCGGCACCCAGCTCGTCGCGAACGGGAATGGCCCCAACGGGGCCCCCGCCCCCAGCATCCAACCAGCCACCTCCGCCAGGTCGGGGGAGGATCTGAGGGCCCAGCTCACCAACCACCGTAGCAGTGGTGCGCCACCAGCACCCCCCGCCGCCCCCGCTCCAGCTCGCACACTCATCCAGGAGGGGGTGGCGGTCTTCGAACAAGCTTCCACCGCGCTGGCGCGCGTCGCGGCGGGCCTCCGAGCAGAGGAACAAGCCGCCTTAGGCACCACCGGAGGGGCGCCGGCGTCGCCCCCGCCTCCTCCCACCCGGGGGCACAGTGGCCCGAGCACCCGGCCACCCCAGGCACCTGTCACCCAGGGGGAGGTCAACTCGCCTCGACCATCGGAGAGGCGGGGAAGAGGGGACTCCCGCCGAGACCGCCAGCGTGACGACGATGGAAGAGCACCAACCCAAACCAGGCCCGCCCTGGAGAGGTTGGGCGACCGGGTGCCAGCCCGGGAGAGGTTGGGCCCAAGGCCTGCTGCTAATGAGCCCCCACCAGCAGAATCCTGCTCCCGCAGGCAGGCACGTCAGCAGTCAGTCACCCGGAGGTCACCGAGCCACGGACCCCGGGCCCCGCCGCGACAAGAGGCAGGCCCGTGGGGGTCCCCTGGACGGGGGACCCGAGTCCCACCTCGGCGTGCACAGGTCTCCCGGGTCGAACGATCAGGAGAAACGAATGGTAGAGCTCCGAGCTCCCATCGGGTAGAGGTTGAGCAGCTGCGGAGGAGGATGGATGAGCTCCAGAGGAAGTTCGACGAGAGGGACGGATCCCCAGAGCCCCAGGATGTGTTGTCCTCTCCGTTTGCAAACGCCATCATGGAGAAGCCCTTACCTCGAGATTTTCGCTTTCCCACCATTAAAGCGTACTCGGGGACCACGGACCCACGGGCACACCTGACCAGGTACAGAGCCGCCATGATGATCACCGAGGCGACAGACGCCATCCTGTGTAGGGGGTTCTTCGCCACCCTGGACGGGCAGGCGCATGATTGGTTCGGATCCCTCCCGGCGGGGTCCATCTCCACCTTTGCGGACCTCACCCGACAG